TCAAGGAGAGCCTGGAGTGAAGTATTTCAAGCCCTAAAAGAAAATAACTTCCAACCTAGACTGTTGTATCTGGCAAAATTATCTTTCAAAATCGATGGGGAAATTAGATACTTTCATGACAAAGAACACCTGAGAAATTTCACGAACGCCAAACCAGCACTTCAAACAATTTTATGCAATATCTTAGAAAAAGACAATGAAGGTCACAACTCCATGAGGGCCAACAGAGAGAAGAAAAGACGCAAGGTAAGGCACTAAAGGGAAAGGGGGAAAAATAAGAAATGAAAGAGCCAACAACAATAAAACATCACGGCAAGAATGAGTCAGTATCTCTCAATTATAACTATCAATGTTAATGGCCTCAATTCACCAATCAAAAGAAACAGACTGACAGAATGGATTAAGAAGCAAAACCCAGGGGCTGGGGATTTAGCTCAGTGGTTCCGCCGCCTGCCTTGCAAGCAGAAGGATCCGAGTTCGATCCCCAGTAACAACAACAACAACAACAACAACAACAAAAAAGCAAAACCCAGCAATGTGCTGTATACAAGAAACAGACCTAACTCGAAAGGAAATTCATAGACTGAAAGGTTAAGCATCCCAAATTCAAAAATACCAAATCTAAAGTGCTTCAACGTCTGAAATGCTCTGAGCACCGACATCATGATGAAAGTAGAAAATTCCATGCCAGGCCATGTTGTTCCATGGATGAAATTATTAAAAATATTGTATAAAAGTATATTCAGGCAATGTGTATAAAACAAATGAATTCCACACTTAGACTTGGGGCTCATCTCTAAGATATCTCATTATGGATATGTGAATTTATAATATTCAAAAAATTTGACATCTGAAACATTCTGGCCCCAGACGTTTCAGCTAAGGACATTTCACCTGTATTTTTTAATAATCTTTGTGTATGACTGAAGTTTATAGGGGCTACCTAATTGAGTAGACATACCAAGTTTTAGCTTCAGAAATTTAGGCTGCTTTCAAATTTTGACTTTTGTAAAAAGTCTACAATTATAGAGAACACTTGCAAATAGCTTTTTCTTTAAAAAGTGAATTTCTAGTTAGCAACATTCCAGGAGTTAGACCTTGATAATGCCACCAAATTACTTTTTGAAAGGAATGAAGTGTCATCTTCAAAACACTGGTAAGAACTATTACTTCAGAAACAAAGTAATATGCAGACAAAAAAAAGTTAATAATAAAAGCAAAGAAAGTGGCGTTCTGTTTTAAGTTGTATTTCGTTAATATCTTGGAAAGTTAAACATTTTATATATTTCTTTCTTAAAGTTTTATTTTATATTGGAAACCTCAATGCAAAAACACAACCATAAGTTGAGGAAACAAGGCAACAGGTGCTTCCAAAAATTCATGACTCACAAAAAGCTGGTCCCATAGAAACTGAAGTGGATAGAATTCCAGACAAAGAATTTAAAACACTGATAATTAAAATGATCAATGAGATCAAATAGGAGACAAACAATTAATGAAAGACCACTTCAGTGACAAAGGTTCTGAAAAGTCAAACAAATCTAGGAAATAGAAACCTTAGTAACAAAAACCTCAATTTGAACTTTTCAGTAATAGGCAAAATGAATGAGAAGAAAGAGTTTCAGAACTTCAAACAAGGTGGACATACTAGAACATTCAAACAGTAAAAAAGAAAAAAAGAAAAACAGCATACAAGTTATTCAAGAGCTCTTGGATAACTTTGTTGGGGGGGGGGTTGAGACAGGGTCTCGCTATGTAGTTCAGATTGGCTTTGAACTCACTGTGTAGCCTAGGTTAGCCTTAAACTCGCAGCATTTCTATTTCTCCAATCTCAGCCTCCCCAAATGCTGAGATTACAGGCATGCCACCACTCCTGGCCAGATGACTCTAAATAAAAAAATTTAAGACTCACTGGCCTAAAAGACAGCAAGGAAATACAGGCTAATGGCATACAAATGTATTCACTGAAATTATTGCAGAAAAATCCCCAAATCTGGAGAATGAGAGGATACCCTGCTAACAGAGGCATTTAGAACCCTGTATAGAGATGACTAGAGAAGAAAACATCATAATCAAATGCCAAAAATTCAGAAAAAAGAAAAAATATTGAAAGCAGTTAAAGAAAAATGCAAAATCACCAAGGGCAAACCAATCCAAATAACAGCAGATTTCTCAATAGAAATCTTTTTTTTTTTTTTGCACTTTATTAAATTCTTTTATTGGTACATTGTAGGTATACAACACAATTACATTTCTCATTGGGAATTGTACCTTTACATAATGCATCTT